GCCTCCTCTTCGGCAAGCAGAGACGCGATGCAAATAACTTATGTACGAAACTTCAATTTTGACCTAACGACCTATTGAGGAGGAGACCTTCGACGAATGATCATGTGGGTGTTGTGCTGTGATTTTTCCGTTTTTGTATTTTTCGTTGGCGCCAGCGTCTGTTGGCACTGACTTTTTTTTTCGTGGCGACAGATATATCATTCAAGAACTCCACCCTTTAAGAGTTGCTTCCAGAAATTGATTCTTCAACCAATACAGTTTTGGTTTTTCCAGTCGATTTTTCCTTTCTAAATATATCCTGCTCTTCCCTTATTTGGCTTGATTCTGATTGATGCACTATCCAAAAATAACTGTGACATAGGTCATCATCGTGATGAATATTCGATTATCATCTCCACTTTGCTGTTCATCACTGGATTGCCATTTGAGGCGTTAAATTATTAATCAAATTTACCAAGCGGCTATTTTGGCGTAAAGTAAGAAAGCGTGTTTCGTAAATTATTTCCGCGGTATATCGCTTAATCGAAACGAGCGTGCCCGAGTGCCGCTTTCACACCCTCGGCGTTATTTTTTATGCCGTACAGAAAGCCTTATATCTCTTTCACACTTTAGTGGCGAGACGACGTTTGTTTCCGAAAGCCCTGATTTTCTATACCTACTTCGCGCGCGTGTTGCTGTCGCGCCCTAATCCAGCAACGCCTTTGATATTATTTTCCATCCTTGTGCATTAAATCTCCCCGCATACCAGAATTCGACCACGATGAAATATTCAGCGCTCATCGGAGATTTTCCATTTCCCATTCACAAAATGTGTGACTACGGTCGGCGTCGACTCATTGTGTTCCGGGTTTCACTTCTCGGTTTGGGTTTTTCCTGCCGTATTGTACGTCGCACACTTTTGGCGTTTGCTTCAAGATATGAAGTCGGTTTTCGAGAAGCGAATGTAGGTGATGCGACGAGTGGAAGAGATGTACAGAATAAACATAACCTAATTTCACGGGGATCCACTCATTTCAAATCCTCACAAATTGAGAAAGATTTCCCTCGGCTAACCGACGAAGTGAAGAAATCCTTGTTCTTTCTATATGCATGACGCTCGAGTGGAGGAGCGAGCATGGGAATTGAATTGATTAGCAAATAGAATCGAAAATAGAATTTGATGTTGTTATTCTTCGTTCTTTGCTGCCTCGGCAAAAACTTTCAAGTACATAATTAGAACACGAAAAATTGAATTTCCTTTTTGGATTAAATTCTTGCAAACACGACGAAATTCGTAAATACGGTTTCATCTCTTAATTTCATCAAAATGAAAACATCTTTATTACTATTTATGTGTAAAGACTTTTTAAAATCTCTATTTAGATGGTTATAAATTTCCTCGAAGCTTTTTTAATGCTTTTACCGTCATCGTGCTTATTTAAAGATTATTATAGAGATTCATGTTTTCTGTCATTACAGTGTTTACGAACGAATTACGGCACGCTATACGCAGTGTGTGCGTTTCACTTTCAGCCTTTCGGAGGCTGAGAATTTTACATCAAACAGTTTACGCGCTAACTGACTAAATATGTAAACGACTCACGTAATTTCTTCGCTACATTTTGAAGACTATAATTAAACCTTTTTTTCTCGACAGTGTTTGAAAAGAGCGGAAAACTATCGACATGCAAGCAATTATCGCGCTAACTTCACATGCATTCACACGTGTATTCCTCGAAAATGCAAGGTTACGCACGTCATAACGTTGTTTACGAACATTTCGATTTCCAATAAAACGTTGTCTTCAATAACTTCTATTTTTATCCGTTCGGTATTATCTACTTGCAAGATTCTGGTGAGTGTGGAAATGAGATTGAGTTCTTCTCACCAACGTGACGAGTAACGACGAAACAAGTAAAACAAAAAGCCTTAATTAACACTTTAATTCGTTCGTATTTGAGTTGCTCTGCCAATCAAGTTGATGTATTATGAGGAGCCCAAGGGGAGAAAAGTAGCTAACGCAGGAGCAAAGTACCTGCTAGTTGTAAGTTTACAGCTGAATTCCTCGAGCTTTCACGGATGAGAAGAATTGGAAACGGGAAGAATTTTCGCGCGCGTCGTAAAGGCATTGAGGAAGAAGAAGCTTAGACACGCCGGCAGGAATAAACATTAAGCGTGCTGGGCGTGAGTGACTCGAAGACACCTCGCCTGTACATCATTCTGTTTACTCTTCCAACAACTTGACGCCACCTCACTATTTTTATAATATTACTGAGTTAGAAGGATGGACGTGCCACTGGTTTATTGATAGGCGGCTTTCGAGGATCAATAACACTTGAACGTATTGTTTTTATGTCGACGCGTTTAATGGATTTTCACTTTGAATGCGCAATCAAAACACATAAATATTGAATTCATGGGACGAGCGCCTTTTGTATGAGTACGTAGTTATTTTCGTGAATAACTTCGCGAGCCGCTCTAGCGAAATTTACGACTTGATTTATGCAAATATATTTATTAAGTGTCCATTCATTTATTTATTTGCATTTGGCTTTGTTGATAAATGGATTTTGAATTTTTGCTGCGTGTTGGGATGTTTGTTCTCAACTAATTTATGATGCAATAAATATTGCAATTCGAAAATTTTACCATATGTTTTATGCTCAAAATTGGAAAATGACACTTAACAAATTATCTACTCGTTTAACTTTTAAATCAGATTTGCTAACTATTGTTTTCGTGTGCGTTTTACAATCGATAATCCTTGAGGATTTTGAATTTTAAATTTATTGCTAAACTGTTATTTAATTATTACCTAGTGTTGATTTCGATTCTTGAAGAAACTAAATCTTAAAAACCACAAGACTTTTACGTCACCTCCACACCTTAGACATTATAAGTTCTCGAATTAAATTGTTTTAATCGCATTATATTCAAATCGTAGATTTGAATGCGAATGGAATTTTCAAACAAAGTGACAAGAATGTCTCCTATTCTAATTCTAGTGTTTATGTTGACACTATTGACATCAACACACGATGAATGTCGATGTTGCAAGCATCAAATCCTTAACGAAATTTATGCCGAGATTAACATAATTCCAGTTCGAATCGCTAGTTGCCTCCTACTTCTCTGCTCTAAGCGAGAACAATAAACAATAAAACCACATCGATTCACACATATTATCTGGCGATGCGATAACTGCAAATTGATCGAGCGCTGGCACCAAGATATGACACAATGTTAAAACAATATCTTGCGGTATTGTGCGACATAATATACTATTTCCAAGCATGTTATTAATAGGCGCACGCATGTACATTTGGTTGTTGTAACTTTAGTGCCATGAGTGTGCTCAACCATAGCCAGTCTGAGTCTTAGAAGACAGCATAAGTAATAATAAACGTTGTGTTTAACATTGTCTTTGAGCGTATGTACCTACTTGTAGACTTATGGCTAATGTGTTCCTGGTACAATAATAATTCAATTAGTTTAATCATTTAATAAATAACATAAATGTCAATGGAACAAAAAGACGCCAGCGACGGGCGCGGCTATTTAATTTTTTTCGGGATTTGAACGTCATTAAATTTTCTGCCTTCTTTTGTTCTCGGTCGAGGTTGAGCGTTTTGCTCTAAGCAATTTTTTTTATATAAATTGCATTTTTCGAGGGTTAAAGGAGTGAGGCATACGTTTGTAACGCGCTGTGGCGATGATAAATCTGCATAAACAAGACAACTTGAAAGTTTTCCTTTATGCCCCTTCTTTTTTTTTCGTCGTTTTATTTTGCACGGCTTTACATACTACAACCGTTCAGGAGTGCACACTCTTGAATATTCTTTGTGAGCTATGCGTATCATTGCTTCGATCCACGTTGTATCATGATAGAAGAGTATGCGAAACAAAAGTGACTTTAAGTCTGAAAAATATGAAGAGTTTGCCTGGAAAAATCGCATTTTTCGAGGAACATGCAGACATTGACATAGTTTTAAAAATTTGGGTCAACTTCTAAATTAAAATTTAGTGATAAAAGTCTCGCATTTTTTGCTAAAACATTTTGAAATAAAATTCCTACGATTGAAGTTAAATTTACACTTTTGGAAAAACGAATTTCACATCCACTTCGGAAATTTATAGTTCAATACTTAGTGCATGCTATTCAAATCATTGGGTGTAGCGTTAATCATACATCCGGAGATTAATCTTGTGTGCAAAATGGTTCAGCGAACCCTTTTCGGAAAAGTCACGCGTTCGATGACATCTGTGATACCCGCTGCGCGCACACCACCATCACATTACGGATGTCGGCGGTAAATGTATATAATACGCACAAATACGGGCAAATTCAGATGAGGGTACACGCGTTGTGGATGTTGCCAAATACGAGCCCTACTTACACACAATCTATACGTAATGCTATTTTCAACCGCCCCCGCCTCTCATGGTGGTTGATGCGTTTGCCAGACGCACAATGAGCGACAGCCGCGTTTGCACTCGGAAACCCGAAAGCAAACGGCGCGGTCTCTAATTACGTGTACGCGGGGGTGGTCCAGTAGTGGATTAATTAATTAAAGGATTGCCACTTAATTAAATTACGCGGAGAATTGCGCAATTCCTTTCCGATACGCAATTATTGTTAAAATTGTTTTGTGGCGCAAACGCTGACAATCGATGTGATGAATAAAACTTGATGGAATGGGGAATGTGGATCGAAATTGGTTACGAAACCATTGCTTCCAGCGTTGACATTTTTTTGTGAATTTGCTTCATGCGGTGGCCGGAGCTTATGAATTAATTAAAATCCAACGCATTTGTAATGGAAACAATTGAAATGGGAATCAGTACAAACAAGGGCAAATACATGCTCAGCGGGGAATGCGTTTCGATTCGATTCCGGTACCGTTCACAATTTAACCCCACCGCGCTTGTTTGTACAAACAGCAGTTTCCTCGAATTACACACCCGCCATCGAACAAACAACGACGAAATTTAATTTCCGTTTCTGTTTTGTGCGTTTACAGGGAATATTTGCGGTGGTCAGTGCTGCTCTCCGGACTCAGAGCTACTTCTTCGCAAGCAGGGACAAGAAGTGTTCGCCGACATGCTCCGACATAAGTCGCGTACATTGCAGGGACTCCTAAACTCAACTGCTACTTCTTTGCAAGGTAAGAGGTCTTATACTATTTGGGCTATGAATTGCCAGCTAGAGGTCTATTTGTCTCACGTACCGTTACTATTACATTAGTTTTTACTACATCGACCCAAAGATTTCTAAATATTAATGTTGGACTAGTGATGCAAATTACGAACAAGTTGATTAAGCTCTTTCTAATATTTACGAGTAAAGTAAACTTATACATAAGAAATTACATTCATACAGTATAAGTAATTATTAATCTGTTAGGTTCCCATAGCTTACAATTAAAGTGTTAATTAATTTTCCCGTAAATGGCAATCATAGTCTTGCCGCCTTAAAAGATCAGATCCCAACATAGAAATTACACGTGTCGTAGGTTATAACATGCAAAATTAGTGTAATGACGCAATAACAATTCGAATTCGCCGTCTACAAGATTCCGTGCAACGCGCTCCAGAGAGGACCGATTTCCCTTGGCACACGGAACGGCTGCAGATAACCTGATAACGGTTGGTCACAAATCGATTCCGGGTCGCTACTTCTAATTCAACATACGGATCGCTTCGGTTGCTTAGGTCACTTAAGATAAACGCACACTAACTTCTAATTGTTATGATCTTCGATTCTACGGCTGCAGAAGCCGTATAAATAAATGTATCCCCTCCAATTTGCAATTATCGTATGGTAAACCAAGTCGAGTTATCGAGTGTCGATCACAATGACAGTGAAGGCAAGTGGTCTATTTAAAACGCTTAATTAAATTGTTCGTGCAGTTTGCACGCCGATAGTCATCGTATCAAACACGTGCGAATTGCCCAGATGATATCTACACAGCAGTTTAATAGCGTAGGCATCCGTCGACGTGGTGTTGCTCGAACTTGCCAGACAGACTGTCCTTAATACTTCCATTTTGGCAGCCGAAATATGCGGCCGGACGGGCGAGCAAACCGATACATGTACATCCGGGATAAATGCAACATACACCGAATTCGCAGTCACGTACACACAAGTATCGAAACTGTGTCATGCGAACCCAACGTTTTGTTGCTGCTGCAAATATCTCTCGAATAAAAATAGTCTGTTTCGGGAATATAACCGCACAAACTCGCTAAATCCTATCATTAAATTTTCGGAACAAAAATATTATATATTTTTATTCAAGTGCATAATAAATTTATGTTTTTATCATGCAAGATATGAGTGACAGCATAAAATTTTAGTTTTAAAAATGTTGAATGTGAGTTTTTCGAAACGGATTTTTGGGGGAGTTAGTCCTAACGATAGTTGTGATCTGTTGTGACACATAATAAATACCTGTCGTTTGCATACAGATCGAATCGCGTTGGTTATGTCACTTTCGACGAATTGCAAAGTCATGCGTGCGACCGAGTTTAACCTTCAGTTTGCATAGTTTTGTGTCAACTGAATTCAAAAACAAAACTAAATATTAATATATTTTAAAGTTGCACGTTTGGATTCTTTCGATTTTATTTATTATTATGTTTTAACGTGTTATTTGCGTGTTGCATCAATTTATAAAACTGTTAGAGCACATAAACCGTTGTAAAACATTGCAGTCACGAATTAAATGGAAATAAAAACATTATGTAAATTTAATATAATTACTTACCGCATCGGCAACGTAAATTGATTCCGATTAGTTAATTGAAATGCATTCGTGCTGCCAAACAGCAATCGTTTCGTTAAAATATGATAATGACTATAATTCATAATTTAAACATAATTATTCAAACACACATTCTATCATGTACGACTCGCGTTAATTACATAGAATCATAAGTGAGTGTTGGTTTTCGCTCCTAAAGCGATAATAAGAATGAATTATTTAGTGTATAATTTTTATTCGAACGCTTAGCGTGCTGTTTGCGTCATAATTACAGCGAAAAAAAACGAAATAAAGCTTGAAGAAGCGTGTGCCCGAGTCAGAATGATTTGGCGTGTAATACGCGCGCGTGTCTTTTTGTGCCCAACTTATCATTAATTATTGTTTAATGACAAAGCGACACGCTCGCGAGCAGATCGCGGAGGGTTTCCTCGCGGGAAACGAACGTGGTGTGAATCTTCGCCGGCGCGTTCCGCTGATTGTGATTAAATGCATAAATGTCTTTCGCATGTAAATTTACTTTCTACAGCTACTACAGCGGCGTTGCGGCAAAGTTTTAATGGTATTGTAAGAATGCTCTAATTTACGGGGCGCAGGCCGGATTCTATTTAATATCCGGCTGAAAATTCGACATTAATTTTATTTCGGCGATACTCGTGCACGTTTTATTTGCTTTGATTAATTGTTCATAAATGTACGTATTCTTTAGTTCATTTACTACATTGTTCGGAAAAACGGCGCATTCAACACTTATAGTATTCCGCAGCGCAAACATTGATAATTTAAATTTTAAATACTTGAATAAATTATTTTATCAGGGTGGGAATATGTTTGCAAAATGAATATTAAGAGTGTATATCCGGAAAGTCTTAACTACCCCTACACATTAGTGCTTCACCGCACTGCTACTCTACATGCGCATCCGGTTTTGGTGAATCTGATACTATCACGATCGGCGGCGGTCGCCGCGTATTTCTCCCCTGCATTGTACCATTTTGATAAGTTGATTACGTGTCGGCCGATACGGGAAACACTGATTAAGAGGGGCGTCGTCTGACACTAGCGTCTGGTGACCCAACCCTCCTTTTCGGCAAAGGGTTTAGGTTTAATAGAAGCATAAAGGGACCAACATGCGGTGGTGTAAAAACGAGTGTCCGGTGTTCTTCGCGTGCGTGATATCCTTCCGCGCCGGAAGTTTATGCGAATTTTATCGCGACACTGCTTCGGTTAACTCAAACGAAACACCCGTGCTTGTATTGGGTTTCCTCAATGTAATCGAATCTTGTGCGTTCGATTTTTTAATTGAAAATCCTTGTTCGTCCTAAACCAACATCGTAGATTCACGAGCGGGGCTATCTACAGCGCACAATTTTATTATCATTTTCCAACTCTTACTTAAGAAAGCTGCAGATTACCATAATCCAATTATATTACCTACCGTATATACCTCGTGCTTGTTTCTGGCTTTATTTCATTTCGGCATTTCTTCTGCGCCTAAGCATATACCTTGAGCACAATTAATTTACAAATTTTGCTTCCTTTTCTTGAAAACGTTTCGGACTCATCTGCGTACCGCATTACGGTAGCGCGATTTCCATTAAAATTTTAATAATGCGCACGTCGACTAAGAAAATGAGGGTTTAAATTATCAAAATCGCTTTAGTGCGTTCACGCACAAACGTATCTCGGTCGCGATTATTTTTTCTCCCAAAAATTGTCCTCTCTTACTCTTTTATTTCGGCCGGTGCGCTTCTATATTAATGTGTCCGTGTTTTTATGTGCGCGCAGATTGAAACACATAATAAAACCATGCCGTCCTCGTTTCCAAATTACGCCGACGCGATCCTGCGTCGAAAGCACGACGCGCGCGAACTAAAAATAAACAAAGCGGAAACCATATGTGTGAATAACGCCCGACCGACTGAATGAAGCCCGTCGGCGGCCATTGACAGTGTCCGATTCTTGTAATTAATGGAGCATTTCTAAAAACAACAATATCATGGCGTCTGGGGCGCAGCGAGGTTTCAAGTTCCAGGTAAATTCGGTCGGTTTTAGATGAAATTTAGAACGAAATTTAATACCTCGGCGAACGTAATGAATTGCGCTAATTAAAGAATCGGAGACCAGGTTGCCAGCAAAATGAATAACAGAAGTTATAATAATGATGCCTTATCTTTATTCGTAACAGTTATAAAAATTTTAATGGTCTTTATTTTTAACCATTTTTAAACGTTTTATTGTTGTCATACAATGTAATTTGCACATCTGTCTCCCTTCGTTGAGAGATGTTCCTATTTTTGCGAAAATTAAACAAACAGAATCAAATGTTATGCGTGTCCTGTGCAGGCTTCTATAAAATCAAATATGCCTTTGCGGTAGCTTGGTACAATTGTGGCAATAATATATATTCCCACTTGTTCGCCGTGTTTGTACTCATAATTCGCCAACGGCCGCCACTAAATCACAGAAATCACTTTGTTAAGTTAATAAAACGTCCGGCTGCGCACACACACGCACACACGTTTTCCAGCCGTGCTCCTTTGCCAATGTAAACATTGCGCTCGATACCACATTCATATGTAGCCAACGTCCGCGGGGACTGCGAATATAAACCTAACCTCTAATCGTGCACATTCGCTGCGGATCTAAATTTCGCGTCGCATTCGTTGCAAACTCGACTCTATCTCAACTAGCTCAATCCGTTTCCCATAAGTGACTCGCAAACATGCGAAATCTCACTGTGTAAATTGATAGTTTGCGCTTTCGTATGACCAGTAGGCGGCGAGCTCAATTCGCCTCGATGCACTTACGAATCCAAGTAAAGTGCAACTGTTTAAATATAGGAAAGTCAACGTTCACCTAGCGCTAATTTGTCTCATCGAGTTGTGCAAATAATACTTTAGTTACCATTCAGTTTCAGCTTAACACATTTTAAATCGCTTCGTGAAAATGCCACAAATGAAAAATTTTCGACGATAAAGGACTATAACAGAAAACAATTAAAAGGAAATTTTATTAAGGCGTGGTTTTCCACCATTGCGATACAATGTCGTCGTACGTTTGGTTTTCGACTTTCAACTTTTACGTTCTAAGTTTAATCGTTGCGAAACTCGCCACCGCACTACTTAAAAAGTTTTAAACTGTCGCGGTCGCGTTAGTTTTTCGTATCAACTTTAAATGAGAATTAAAACCATAACTTCTATTCTCTGTGCCCCATCTTGCAGTAACGACTTTGCGGTGTTATATCCTAGATATTTCTTTTTCCGTTTCAATCGCGATACATTGAAAGTTTGGCCGAATACGAAAAGCAAATGTAAGCGCATTTTGATAAACAGAAGGAACAGCACATAAAATATTCATTGAAACTTTTGTGATTCTTATTGCGCGTGTTGAATTTTTCAACT